CAATTTTTGCAACCGATTGTTACCAACTTTTACATCTTATGATAGAAGAGAAATTTGTTCAGAGTATACGTCCAAATAAAATCCACGAAGGAATCACATACTTAAAAAATCATGAGCGAACATTAAACTTCGGGTTTTTAACAGGGTCTGATCTCCTGTGTGAACACTGCTCACTCAACAACATTGGCAAATAAAACAAAAACAGCTAAAAACTTAACACAGTTACAGTTCTATTTTTAGCAAGCTGATTTAAACTTATTATCAGTCAGAAATACATGAACATAAAAAATATGGTATTCAGAATTCGAATAAGAAATATATCCGAGATTCCAGATATAAGAACACAACAGTGTGCTAATAATACGCGCCAATCATCCATCCTAGTAATATCATAAAGATAGCGAAAGCCCAATTTATGAACCATTTTTACCAGTTTTCATTTTCCACCACGATTTCACACTTTCATGTCCTTCTTCTGTAATAACCATCAACCTCTGTACATCATCACACCATAGCAAGATACCTGAAGACAAATTCAAACCATAATAAAAAGTTTCTGGGAAGAGTTCCGATATTTGGGATGGAAAAAAGCGTTTAGGAGAAAGAATTTGTTTTCAGACCGGAGATAAATTCAAAACGATAAAAATTTCTACTTGTATAAAAAAAGGAAAAAAGTCAGATAAGTGGTCTTCAAAATCTTCATAGGCATACCTTGGGAACTGACGTATCCTTTCAAACCGAAATACTCCTTTTCAGATTCAAATGACGAATAAACAGCAGCATTGCAGAACATCAAACGTCGCCTTTCGTCCTCCCAAAGTCGTATCTGATCGGCGACAGTTATGGGTACACTCTGTATCATTCCTCCGTATTCAGTTGTTACAGCATAGGTTGTTGGATGAGCATTTGCACGCAGAAATGCTATAATTTGTGCTGCTGTTATACCAACCTATAAAACATCATATCTCTTCCATCCTAATTAATACATCTACACCATAAATTGATATAAACCATTCCATTTTTATAAATGATAACATAAATTTTACAGCAAATTCATGGAGCGATAAAGATTAAACAAACTACGACGAAACAACAAAAATACCTGAAAAGCTCTTCTTACGGCTTCACGAGACAGCACACCCACAGACATATCATTGAATCTGAAATTAAAACTTCCCAAAAAAACAAAAACTATGCATCTGCATCATAAAGAAAAAACTGCCAACAAGAATGTTACTAAATTCTAGCAAAAAAAAAGAACCTGTAAAGCATTTCTGTAAATGTCGAAAGTATTGCAAGTTGCAAGTTTGAATCTGTGTATGCATAAACACGATAGTTTGTTTCCACTATCACAAAGCCGTTTTGATTACGGTTTTCTATGCCTGTTTCAGATGCATAGGAAATGCTGGTCAAATGATTGAGTAAAGGAGTTAGAAAGAAAAACCTGCAAAGAACAATAAACGACAGAAATCTAATGAAACTATTCGAATTAATTCAAACGACATCTTTTGTACAGTTTAAGAAAAACAAAATTTTGAACATGATCATAAACCTACCCGTCTTTTCGTTTCCTTATAAAAACCAATCCCAACTCCCTGAGATGCATCAAAAAATCCTTAGTAGGTTCAGGCCAACATTCGTCGATAAGAAATGCCCGACTACCGGCAGGTCGTTCTTTATCTGAACCATTGGTCACTCTAGTACCACCAGATGTATCACCAGAATATAAGGTTAATCTAAATATCTGCCAGTTATCAACTGTAACCAAAACCAACGAAACAATGAACCGAATGTTTGTTACGAAACCTTATAGAAAAATGAAAAAAATTTCGAACACAGCAATTGAACAATTAAGGAAGATGCCTGAATAAAAAATCAAGTTCCTTGATGATATCGATACCGGCTACTTCTTGCATATGAAAATAATATAAGAGATAGGTCCAAATTTGCTCCGAACGGTTCAATAAAAGAAATTGGAAACCGGCTGATGTTATTTCTATATCACCGTCATCTAAAGTGGAAAATCATTTGTTTACAATATTCAGGTGCAGATTAAAATCTATGAAAAGCTCTAACTGATTTCTTGATGAATTCCTGCACTGCATTATCGTTAGTTTTCATTATTTCGTTCCCCAATTTTTTTTTCACTGCAAATCTTGCAGAAGACTTATAATGTGTGGAATGTCAGCTACTGTAAAAGAACTGTTCACCATGTGCAGATTCACATACAATTCAGTCATAACTACAACTACAACTTATGACATAAATTCGAAAAATAAAGAGAAGAATTAACCATTTTCACTGCTAGTTAATCCCGCAGACCTAAAAAGCCTTTTGGTGGTACCACTGACACCTTGTTCACTTTTCTGAGACGGTAATGCCAAATAATGCAATATGCATTCCCATCTTTCAACCGCTTTTTTTCCGAGATCTTTATTTGCCGATTTTCGAGTTTTTTCATCGCAGTCTGTAACTGCACTAAGTTCTGATGCTTTGCATAATCCAATACGAGTTGCCTTAAGGTATGAACGACGATACACGGGCTGGAAAAGTAAACTCTATCAGTTTCACTAACAGGATCATCAGGAAAGATGGCTGGCCAATTAATGCATTAAATGTTATATTTATGGCTAGAATGCATATTTTACCTGACAGTTGATTTCCAAAGGAAATCTATTGAGCCAATAGTCAAGCTATCGTTTGACTAGATTAATTGCTATTATAAAATTTGTAGCGGCAAAAATTTAAGCGGATAAGATTTTTAAAATATATTACCATAATTTAACAAATTTTAAAAATCCATTTTCAAAATATGCACTTTTCTCAATCAGTCGACTGCAGCAACAAAAATATGAAGAGCTAAACGCACATTAAGCATGACTTCTTCATCTCCAACAATTATCTTCAGCTTCCTCAATCCACTGATCTGATTCATCACTGCCGTCTCCATATCTGGAGCTGACCACGCATGCCATTCGCTAGAAAAAAAAAAAAGAATAATGAAAAAAACAATGATTATTCCAATTCTGCTATTAGAAAGTAGGGAGTCATATTATACTACCGTTAACATGTTTGAACATCTAAATACATAGCTTCACTGAATCTTTTTCTTCCCTTTCTTTCGAAAACGACTCCAAGTGTAGTTTTCATAATCAATTTTTAGAACCAAGAGATATGCAGACTGCACTGCAACGAAGATCTGCAACTAGCTTGTATTTGAGTTAATTCCACTAATTGCTTATCTTACTTAATATCTTCCAAACTATTGAATCAAGAATTTACACGCAAAGATCAGGGGATTCTCTAAAACAGGAAAACTTGGGCTCCTTTCAGCTGCATACTAGATTCGAAGCATCCGAAGAATTATTTGAATCCAGCATATTCCCGTGTTTAGCCCTTCTTAGAACAAACGTTTGCAGACTTTTTTCAAAGGACTGCTTCCAGTCTTTCGAAATAGCAGTAGGTTCCTTTCACTGCAACCATTATCCGTGTTTTGGTAATTATCATTTCCACTGATTCGGCGGATTTACAACCGGAATATTAAGACGTAAAAATAATCCCAAAAGATCTATCTACGAACATTTCATCGTCCCACTTTATCTAAAAACATCTTCCCCTTTTTCTTTTACCTAAAGTTAGAATAAACTGTTCTAAACTATACAGGACAAAATGAAGATCGTCTAAGGCTTTCTCAGCGCAAAAATTGCATTCTTAACCATCACTGAAACATAAATGAAAGCAACAGTTCTCAAACAAAGAATTCACAATTCCAGGGATCACGGACCGTTTCTTCTGAACGCGGTTTACATCCACTGGAAATTAATCGTACAATTATGCAGTTACCCTCCACCAAAACACCAATAACAAACGTAAACCACCTTCAAAATTTCTAGTTTCGAAAACTCACCACTTCCTATTAGTGCCAGTTAACCATACTGTCTTCAGGATAAACTGTTGTGAAAGCTCCGGTAAAAGTCGAAAAATAGCAAACGATACCGCAGGAGATGAATAGAGCTTATCTAGTTGGTCAATGGCGCGGCTGCTCAGGTATTCCAGTAGTGGATGTCCATTCCAATTCGACATTTGAAACATTTTATAAAAATGAACGCCAATCAACTTTTCGGAAAAAATTAGGGCTAGTTCAAAGCTTCGCCAATCACTGAAGTGTTTAAACTGTCAATTTTCACTTTTTTTTTTTAACTTCACAGAAGCGTTACTACACGCATCATCCTTACACAAAATTTATTAATTTAGAACAAATGTCGAGAGTTACAATTTTTTTAAAAAATCTGAGTTGTAAGGTCATATATATATATAGGTAACAAATACATGGGACGAACAAAATAAAGAAAATCAATCTATCCAAAGCAGCATCAACAAATATTGATCATAAAACAGTGGCCTTTAAATTACACAGTCATGTAGAACTACCACATTTATTTAGCACAAGGTAATATTTCTTAAAGTACTCCAAGAGATTAAGATTAATCATTTCTCTAAAACTGATAGTTGGGTGTTCCCACAAGACTATGTAGGGGTCTGCACAGCTGAAAGCTATAATCAAAACTCCTCAAACTTTTTTCGCGTCGGTGTAGATGCTGGTTGCAAAAAGAAGAGCTGACGATCTTGAAGCAGTATAATCCTTATTCCATTAAATTTTTGAACAGAACATAAAGCACAAGCAATACGAAATGTGCATACGAGAAAACAATATAAACAGAACCGTGATCAATATACCAAAAAACAAAAATAGGTAGGTCCAAAAAACAAGTCAGTAAATACTGTCGACAAAAATATAAATCTAATTTGAAGGGTTTTTTCCTTCGACGTCTTAATTCAAAACAATGCCAACATGCCACGGACTCAAATTCAATATAAACTAGAGCAATATTTTAATGCTTTAATGCTCCGGATGAATTTTTCAACACCCATTCTGTTCCCAACAAATGGAAAAATTTTAGGAACTGATGAGTTATCTCGTGCTCCCTGAAGATTTAGTTGCGACGTAGTGTGAGAATGAACAAAACCGTAGTTCAAGAAACTAACTATTATAATATAACGAAGGACGGAAAAAAGACATGCTGGGATAACCAACTCTGCAAAGATATAACCCGATAAGACTTGACATGATGAACTTTTTATTTTGGGTTGACTTGGACTTCGAAACTCTACAATACTTTCGCCAATTTCAGTCTCAAGAAAATCAGAAATTTCGCAGAAAAAAACTACAACGCATCAAAAAACACTTATCAAAATCAATGGAACACAACGATACCTGACAAATGATAGTTATTCAACATTGAAATATGCCGGCCGAATCAATGAAAAAACAGAATGAAATTCAACGACTATCACTCTTTCTGGCAGCAACTAGTTCGCTAGAACTACCAGGAGTCGGAATCGCTGCAATAGTTCCAGATGCTCTGACTGAAAGACCAAGGGAAGTGGAACAAACTGTTACTGAATCTGCAGATGGTTGAAGTGCCATTAAAATAGCTTGATATAGAGAAGCTGCTTCACGTACATGATTAAACTTCAGGACAAAAGCTTGCAACTCTACTGATAGTGGCTGAAAGTGAAGATTTGGTCAAATCTTTGCTACCACTAGCACTAATGTGGTGCAAAAAAAACTCTGAAATTCTTGAAACATCTGCTTTGTGCAAACCTTAAACTTATCAAATATGTCCACACTTTTCAAGGATTTCGAACTTCTCTTAAATCACAAGACTAGAAAATATGATAAGAAGTAAGCAAAAAGAAATCAATGGCAAGACGTGAATACAAGAAGCGAACATACGCGGACATCCCAAGTACGACTTCGAATAAGTGAGGAAAGGAAGACGCACACCACTCGTACTTGACGACATTGCATAAACGGCGTCTGGCCTGGCTCTTCACAACGACGTACACATGTTGAAATATAACTATTGAGATATTCTTGTGGGAATTCAACTTGCTAAAATAATTTCCGATGTACCAATTTAGTAAGAAGAATGAACAAATAAGCAGTTATCAAACAAATTGAGCATTTTTAAAGTAATAAGCGCGATGTTTCATTTCTGCTACAAGGAAGATTGACACAAATGATACCTTAACTGCACTGTCTCTCTTAGTTTTTAGATTCCTTTTTACCCGGCACTCTGAACAGGAAACTGCACTAACATCAGCGCATTGAAATATGAAATAAGGCTCAACAGTTCAGTATCTTCTTGATCCACATCATGTCAGAAATATATACATATAAACACATGTAAACCAAAAATAGCACACACTTATGTTTTTGTCCTTATACTGCTCATATGGCCCTCATAACTCTTATTCTTTGACCTGATACAAATCAATTCTATAAAATGATTAAAAACAAAATACACAAAAATATGAAAATGAAATATAACCATTTCCTACAACAATCATGAGATGAAAATTCCAAATTTGAGATTACGCAACTTATAAGCGGAGATGAACGTGATAAGCATAGAAATGACTTTTTTTAAACTTTATGTTCAAAGCAGTAGATAGGACACTCGACAAAGAAGAAAGGATGAAGAAATTGGAACAGAATAACCATAAGTAAATAACAGCAAAAGTGTTTAAATTAAAAATGTAGACCTCAACTTTACAGATTTTAAGACTATTCAAGTTATTAATTCTGAAAACATACGGTACATAATCTGTTCACTACTTCCATGGCCTGTACTGAGATCTTCATTCCAGCAAGTAACTGAAAAAACCTGCAAACAAATACAGTAATCAACAAATACATTGTATAGAACTATAACCGAATATTAAATTTCAGAAAAACGATTACTGAGGTAATTCACTGCAGTTTTGAGTGATTCGAGCCACAATAACAGCTGCTGCAATTGCCGGATTATCGTCAATATATTTGTCAAACTGAAATCAACAAATCCCAGCTACAAATTATATAATGTGCAGGTAAACCTTGAATTTTCGGAACAGATAACAACACTAATACATGGATTAAAATATAAATGGAATGTGGATGTAAAACGCGACCTTGGTTAAGGGGATATCTATAATTTTGGCCAATGAAGTATCTTGCGCAATAGCTTCGGCTAATTTCTGCGCTTCTGTTCTTGTAATGATCGACACCAAAGATTTTTTTAAGAGTTCTACAGCCTCCTCAGACGTCAACGGTTGTTTCTTCTCGGATGAAGCTGATGATATGGTCGTTTGATACTGCAGTAGTAGATATTTTAAAAACTCTTATAGTAACCAAAAAAGCAAAATAACTTGTTTTGATTCAAAAAACAAACTTCATAGATCGGAGTCGTTGCATCTATTTCTGGCTCTGCCATAGTGCTGCTGGCAATGTCAGCTTTTTCCTCTGAGAGTACGAGCATAGAAGATGTGCGGCACGGCTCAATCAACTTTTTACTATCTGTTGCAGGCGTCACAGTACCGACTGTACTGGGAAGTGAAGAGCCAGTCTGCAGGGAAACTTTATTAGTCTTGTTTCTGGGTAAAAGTGATAAAAGTAGGAGCTGAAACAAACAGGAAGCAAATATAAAGCATGCAACTCAGATACATTAAAAAACAGGTCACTTCAAATAAACCTTATGAGAAACATCCACAGAATCAGGTTGCATTTCTTTAATCGGTGGCGGTGACATTGTAGAAGGAATTGTTTTCAATTCAATGCTCTCTGATTTCTCACTTATTTGATTTTCATGAACAGTAGTCACTGGATTGCAGACTTGGGAGGCGGTGGATAACGTTCGTAAATCCTGTTTCTCAACGCTCGTTTCCATCCACATCGGATCCAAAATGAAAGGATACAGAAATTGAAACTGAAATACACTGGCGTAAAACAAGAATATATTATTTCGACAAGGCATCATAGGAATAAAAATTTCGGGGATGCTAGTAAGCTGGAAATAGAAAATGTGCAGATTTTTACCTCATCATCTGAAGGAGGCATTAATGTAGGTGTGACACGATGAAATGAAGGAGGAAGAACTTCAAACAAATAAGGATTTGTTAACAAATTGGGAAGCAACATAGATGCCAGTGATTCGACGCCAGTTAAATTATCTCTAAAGAGATAGTCTCTTCATTAAATTAATTTTCGATAGCTAAGAGAACAATTTTGCCAAAATCACAATATTTTGTTAAATAAAAATAATGCAAATTTCATTTAAAAGCAAATCATACTGATTTTTTGTCTTTTCATCAAATATTTTGACGATAGCCGGAGTAGTCACAGAAGCGACCGAAGGATACTTTGCTTCCCGATTTTTGAGCGCCGTTATATGCCGCGTTATATCAAAATCCTTTAATATAAATAAATAATAGAACCGAATTTTTTACAAAAAAAATTTTGCTCAGTAAAAATGCAACCTGCTTTGGAATTTTCATCATGGTAATGTCGACTGGGGTGCGGTTGATGATTCTGTCCAACATTTCTGTTAATAAGCAACCAGTGATGTATTTCTCACGAGCTCCAAGTTTTGGAGAGCCCAACATTTCTACTTCTACAGAACTATCCTTCGAATCTTTGTCATGCTCCTGGAAAATGTGAACAAAATCCAAAATGAGGCAGATTAAAGTGCTTCGATCCCTTAAATAAGTAGCTATGCAAAGAAACCATCAAGATTACCATAACGGATAGGAAAAAAGATAGAAAAGGATGATCAAGAATATCGCCTTTTTCTGACACGCCGTCAAGTTCAGCACATCTGGAAATAAGCCAATAAGATAGGATGAACATCAGAATTAATCTAACAAAATTATCCAGAACTGGGTATCCTTTCGAGTGTTTATACTAAATACTGATAAATGTCATTAATACTGATAATACTTGGTAATACTCACTAATAATTAATACACTGATAATACTAACATAAATTAAATATCAAGAGATAAACACAAACCTGTACAAGAGATAAATAAGGATCACTCGATTCCTCAAATTTTCAATGCCATCAGATTCTCTAAACGCCAATAACAAAGCATAACCAATAGAAAAACTAGTGTGTCTTCCATTGAAGCTCTGGAAATTCCTGTTAACAGCATTTCTACCTTTAATTCATGCAGAAAATTACTTTCGAGTAGAAAAAGTAAGAAGAAACTTACGGAAAAAAAACACTGCTTTCTATGACAGACATTTATTTAACTGTCGAGAAGTTGTGGATTTTGAATAATGAATAAAAGAAAGGCAAAATATTAAACCCAAAAAGGAATGGTAGACATAAATTAAAACATACACTCAGAAAGGCATCACCAATAGATTCAAACGTTTGTATGGTGCTACGACACAACCTAGAAAATAAGTTAATATTTCGAAATTTGTCATTTTGAAGCTTTTATTCAAGAAATGGTAATAAGAACTACAAACAAATTATCATGGGACACGAAAAAAGTCACTTCATTATCGTCTCCACATCGTTCTCCGTTATTTTAGGTGAGAATCGTTTTCTTGGTTCCATCCCTTTTTTCAACCATTTAATTATCTCTGTAAATCAGTATTACAAAATTTAAAAACGTTTAGTCATTCCTGTTCCCACTATCGATAGATTCGATATTACTAACTGACATCATACGTAACATAAGAAAAAACAAACTTCTGAACATCTTCACGGAAAATATTATATAACTCTCCGAATCACTTAAAACTGAGGGAGAAAGCAAGTCGGTTATTCAACGACAAGACAGTGAGGTAAAATTGACCTGCAGATCGAAATAATTCGAGCAAACTACCGCTCAGCACCATAAAATGACTGAAAGTTGTTGCTAAAAGCAAATTTTCCAAATCTAAGGCCACACAATCCAAAAGAACGTACTTAACACCGAATCGACGTACAGAAACACATTACAACTCGTTTTCACTGTAGTAAGCTGCTAAAAACCATCTCTTTTCACTCGATCACTTGTCGCATACCAACGGTTTCGCAAGTCAGGCCTAGACCTGCAAGTGGTCATTTTAGGGAACCGATTAGGCTACTTAACATGACATTTGCAGTGGACAGCTTCCCTTTGCTACAGTTACACTTCTCTACCCCTGCCCAGCATCTACGACACTCCCTTCTCATCCCCGAAATTGCGTTACCGTGTTGTCTATTCAACCTTCGCTATATTTCTAACCGATCTTATCAACCTTCATCGTCATCCTTTCACCACTCTTTCCATTTCGTCGGAGAGTGAAGGTAATTGACTCTTTGACTTCATCACAGACTGGAAGTGAAGCATCCGATTCATTCTCGTAGGCCTTCCAGTATCCGTTCCCGACAAGAAGTTAATATTTCCGGTCAAGATCAAGATGCCCAGAGAAGTAGTTTTTCTGAAAGATGTCAGAGGTTGGGACCTTCTCTCCCACTGTCATGCTGAGATTGCATGTGTGGAGCCATCAACCATCAGTCAACTATTCGTAAATATGCGTGATACTTTTTTTGAACACAATTATAAACTTTATAAACTCATCAAATCTAATGACTACAAAACGGAGAAGTGAATGCATCAAAAAGGACAAATGGTAATTGACTTGTCCTTTTTTTCCTTTTGTCCTTTTCCAACGAAGTCAGGAACTTCGTTACACACAACCATCCACTGTTTAGGTGGTGAAAGGGATCAATCACGGATCCGAAATCGGTATTTTGGAATATTGTTAATGAACTCGCTATAAAGGAACCATGAAATAAAGACTAACGAAAGTTCCACATTCTCATTATGTGGCTAATAACAATAAAACTATGCGTTCAAGTTTAGTGTTTTCCGAAGTGATCTAAGAAATCGCCAGATGTTACAGGCTGCTTCACAAACGATGGATATTCTTGCTGACATGCAGCGACATCGATCTGGGATTTCAGACCTTAGTTTTTTTTAAGACTATAGTTAAATTGAAAGTTTTGGAAATTTTGTATATTCCAATTTAACTCCCTCTAACTGGAGGTGTTGTTTTAGCAAAAATAAATCAAATATGTGGAGCGCATTTATTCGACGTTACGTCGAATTTCAATCCATCAAGGCAGTCATAGCTGCTACCATGTTCGCCTAAGCAGGCCACAAACTCCAATGAGCAACCATCGGCACACAAACCATCCAGACGATCAACGCAATATGCATACATCAGATATATGTTTATTAACATGGAAACAGTTTGATAAAGACTGTCAGAAGCTTCTTCGCATTCAACCGTTTAGCATCGTGTAAATGATCCAAGGTATAAAATGAGATCGGAATCTGTTGAATAAAAAAAAGAAACTGGAAAATTTTCATCCGTTGCATCGCTCTCATAACTTCACAGTGAAACATGGGAAACCTTTGGTGAATTGTTTTGTTCAAATGGAAATGCCTTCGGTGTGTCTGTAGTGGAAGCAGATCTGGTGCTAGCGCTATATGTTGCTACTTCACTCTACAAATAGTGAGACTCAACATTCTGTAACATTACCAAAATAACGAGTAATTAACTGCAGAAAAATTCTAAAATACCTCGCCTCTATATATTGCTGGAACTTTGTGATATCTCAATGAGTTAGTGCAGTGAAGAAATAGAGGGGTTTCTGCGACGCAAACAAGCATCAAAACCTTTTGGACAGCTATCGGCATAAATGCCTTTGGATTTCCTGAGACAGAAATCTACAAGAAATCTCAGTTTCTGAGAAGCATGACAAACTGCAAGAAATTTTCAGATGCAGCTAATGCACTTACAGAACATAGAATCAAAATTTGCGAGATTTGCAATCGAATAAATTACCGGGATTGAAGATTTGTTAACCGCTCTGAAACCTACATCTTCATCCATGAATTTTTCCGCCAAGTTATATTCCTCATCCTTGCCGAGTGCTGCACGAGTAATAACCTCGGAAACCATAACTTTTTCATCGACCACCTCAGGGATTGTATGTACAGATGTGCTCACCGAGTCCTGAAAAATTATGCTAAAATTAAAAATTGCTTCAAGCAGATTTCTCAAATAGGTATCCGTGCAGGTTCAACAGATGTCCATGCCTTAAATGCTCACCTCACTAACAGACTTTTCTGATTCTGCGTCAAATATCAATTGTCCAAGACAATAGTATAGCACTAGCGTGCTGCCATGCATAACGTGAATTCATGTGAACAGCTTTTTGTGCAGACTACATCTTTATAATCGAATACTGAAAACATATAAAAATTTGTCCATATAAAAATCTTTTTTTTAAAAACATAAAAATTGAAATCTGCGCATTTATACTATGGACCAAAAACATTTCGTGAACTACGGGATCTTGATGCACGGGATCTTGATTTATGATGCCATGGTACCAACATCTCTTTCAAGAAGAAACTGCAGTGGTGTAATCCCACTATATTCACTGAGTCTGTGCCTTTGACATGGCTGCAGATAGCCCTTTTCGAAATCATTTCCGACACTGAGCCTTCAAATACTTGTACCATGTCCCAATGAAACAATTTCGATCTTACAATGAAATTATTCAGAAGATAAAATGCGGGGTAAGTGCCATCACTTTCTGCAAGCAGTATTTCAGTTATGTTGGATTCTGACACTGTTAACATTACTGCTGAGGAGCTGCTACTGCTTTGGCTACTGCAAACACTTACGAACTGCAACACTACTTACGCAACACTTACACTGCAACACTTACAACACTATTGCAAACCTACTGCAAACATTTACTTACGTGAAACTGAAATTGAGAAGTTCTGCTAGATTTTGTTCCCAGTTCCTACTTTAAACTTATTGAGAAAAAAGTTAAGAAGGACGCATAAAGCTTGGACGGCACTATTGCGTTTCATCATCGATGATCAGTGAACCAGGATAACGAAGTTGTATCTTTCCAACACCTTTACATTGAATGAATTCCTGACATACCAACCATCTGGTTTATTTTTACACTTGGATTCTAGAAATATCAATTTATTAAAGGTTTAAAGACAAAAATTGACCTTAGTGATTAACAAAAGTCGACTGACGAGATATTTCCTCCTTCCGAACTCTTACTTTGTTTGGCGACAGCTTCTGTGTTTCACTCTTGCCCAGTGCAGTTCCTTTCCCGCCACATTTTTTCACGAAAGCCTACAGCAGGAATTTCTTTCGATTGGGAAATCAGTGGAAATTTAGAAAATCTCACATAAATTCCTGTATTATTGTAAATAATAAGAATATGAAATTTTCTGGTAGAGGGCACTGCTGAAAGGAGGAGTCGAATTTCAACAACTGCTTGAATGGACTTTTATTTAATTTCATTTGTCCCTCAATCCAGAGAATAAATTCATAGATCCTCGTGAATATTTCCCATCAAGCAAACCAATTACAGGATGACACAATGCAAACATTAGTGAAACAAGAACTTAAACTTCTTGAAGCTACACTTAAAAATCTAGACCTGATTCAACTCACCAAATGGAGCGAATGGAAAAATGGGTAGGACAGAGTCGGTGATTAGTGTTCCGTGTTACGCTGAACCTATTGGAATCAAATGACTGTACCGTCTTGCATAACTGTGACCTCAAACAACCCTTTATTTATATTCTGCACTGCTTCTCTGGTTAAGCTGCTTGCCCACATCCGACTTGGATCATTTGGAAATGTTGTATTTTACTTAATCAAAACATAATCTAGTCGTAAAGGCGCTTATGGTAAAATAACCTGAGGCAGCGGTCAATGATAGTTGATCCGATAGAAACAACAGGCTTATTATAAAAATGAGGAAAGAACGAGTGCTAATAAGAAAATATGAGTTGGTTCTCAGGAGGAATATAACGGTCCAAAGTATAACAACTGCATAGGTACATTGTTAAACTTCTGTAGACCAGGCAACGCATCTTGATCATTTGACCTTTAATGTATGCAAAGAAACTGGGATTACATCCAGTCGAGTACAATCCATCTTCCTTTCCAGCATCTAACAATGTTGAAAATTGTTCCGACAAATTCCAGAATATGCTCTGACCTTTGCTTATAAGTATTACCTGACTCGTCTTGAACTGAATGCAACTTGCTCCGTGATAACAACTGATGACCGCGATATTTTTCTTTGACTTCTAAATCCTGGTAGCTTCTTCTAGAAGCTGTGCGTAAATTATAATTGCAGATACTGCTGAATTTTTTTCAAACATATCAAGTACATATCTCCTCTTTAGACGAAAATGTTTGAAACTTCATCTTTGCGATGCAGCTACGTAATCATGCCGGTATGCACAGTTTGAAAGGCATAGAACAATGATATTTTGTCTATTAGTGCAAAAATTCGGACGAACATTAGTCTTGCTCACAGACTCCATTTGATTTGTTAGTGCACAGCTGTGCTGTAAAGTGTTATTTGAAAAATGCCAAGCAAATTAAACAAAAAGAAATTTGTATGTGCTACCTGAATCTATTGATTTAACTTCCGCCGTATCCTTGTCACCCTGATCTTTTGCGCATGTATCTATATTCTTCTGGAAACCTAACGTAAATTGGAATTTACGAGTTCTTTGAGCAATCATAACTTGAACTAACAAAGAACCGGACATACGCTTCAACAGACTGATTGCTCTCACAATCAAATCTCAATGGACTCCAGCAGTACAAGTAAAAAATATCATCTTTGACGCAAACATAACTTTCCAATGAAAAAAAAAAAATACGGATAGTGCATACATACTATCCGGTTTAGTTTCGCAACTTATTGCTTCATTTGCAACCGCTCCTAGAGAAAGCAAGGTTCCATGTTAAACATAGTTCACTTCAGATATTGTAAAAGACTTAAGCTGTGTAAAAAACTTTGTTGTTTTGACAGTCGGCATAGATTAAATAAGCGATCGGTACCAAATCGCTTCCTTGTGTATTAAATTAAATGATGGCCCTGATTCCTCTTTGGCACTATTAACAAACACGGTCGGCTGATTTTTCGAGCAAGCTGCTACAAGCAAACTGCTAAAAATTAAGATAATGACTCAGTAACAACCAATGTAATAGATCACCAGTGCAAGATTCAGATGTCACTTACTCCTGCAAGACATTTGTGGATTGTATTATCGAATTTTAATTTCCAGGACAAGCATACTGTACAAGTTTGCCTGGAAATTGGATGAATATACTGATGAAACAGAACCATTCGGCTGATCGAAACAATCAGTCAGTGAAATTATTGATGGAAAGTGGAGGCAGAATATGCTTACAATTTCCAGTAACACATTTTGAAAAGTACTAGAAGTCTGCAAAACATGACTCACATGAGGAATTCATTGAGGTACCTCCCAATTCCGTTATCAACGTATTGTACCAAGTACTGACGAGTTCCTGTAACTGAATCCAATTACCTGTTTGCAAAACTCCTCAAAACTTCGAACTTCTAACTTTAATTGAAAAGGCTAATTACCTTGTCACAGCACATCTGTGATTCTATATCATACAGAAGAGGTGATAGGCAACGGTAATAGGTTGCTAAGCCAGAAATGCATACCACAAATTTGACAGTGCATTCTCGTGCATATGCACCACCAGGTCTGCTTTCACATGTGAGCTCTGAAGACGTCATCATACACTGATTTGATAAATGAACAAATAAGATTTGCATACAACTACTGCAATAGATATTTACCAGACTTCTTCTCTGGAAATAGCAGCTTTGATTTCAAGTTCGACTCTGATTTTTCTGTTGACAATTCATTAGAATAAGCTATTAATTTGGCCTTCATTATCGTCATTACGGTGATATACTAAGTATTGTCATCGGTAGTACAGTAAACCTGAAGCTATTAAAAATGTTATATAAAGTGAATAAAGCTTGATATCTGTGGCAAACACACCTTGCCCTCAATGTCATATCTCAGAAGATCAAGACACTGAAACCTGGCAACTTTTTCTAACAGAGAGAACGCTACTTCATTAGTACAAGCTTCTCCATGAACTCCATCTGGTAGTCCGATACATAAAAACTCTAAAATATGCTTGTTGAAAATAATATTGCGGGTGTGAATAACCAAGAAAACACAATAAGGCGTTTACATTGTTTCGACTCGCGATAGTAAAAACATGATAAGGTGTTCACAATGGACTACTTGACTTGAAGACAAATAATTTTATAATACAATCGTTTCGGTTTCCCTGACATGTGACATGATCTGAATAGGAAACAAATTCGAAACTAAATTTGCAGAGTTCCAAAGATTTGTGTAGCAGAGTGGACAAACAAGGGTACTCTTTCAGAATGTTGTTTCGCGATTTCATCATACTTCTCCCTTTCAAGACAACGCATGGGGATGGATATTCATTTAAACATGTATAGAAATCCTCCGAACATCCAGCTCCATACAACCCATTTAGCTTGTCTTTTCATGATAGGACTGAATAATGACAGTTAACAAGCTCAGAACAGTCAGAAAAAATCAATAGCTTAAAAAAATGAACAACTTACATTTTGAGGTAACAGATGACTGTATAACTGGTGGACGTTCCTTAACTGGTGCTATCCTCTTGTTGACTAATGTAACAGATTCAGACTTTGGCTGGTAGTTCACACATGCAGAAACATCTTTCTGAACCTTGAATACATTCAACCACATTTCAAACAAACCTGAACTTATTAGAACCGCAAACTCCCCGGTAGTATGCTTACCTATCTCATTACAATCAGTTGAAGCATCCAGCATTAGTCATTGAGCGGTAAGTAGAAACGACTGTTCAAAATTTCACCGACACATTTTCAAGATTTCTTGAGGATATCGGCTATAGATAACATGACAAAATTTACTAATTTGTAAACATTTTGCAGACATCTCACATACTTTAACAATGCTGGATACATCAATAACACTGGGCTGCCAGATTATATGCAATGAAGTATGTTGAACATTTTTAGCTATACATGCCATTAGTTTAAAAGAAGCATGAAAAAGCTGAAAATATGTTCATAAAATTCTAGTCAAGATATTAAATTAAGGAAGCATGGGAAAACCTGTTTCCAGTGTTGGCAGATTCTTAATCTTAGATTTCTTCAATGCTCTTCTGGCATTTCGGGCCAAAATGCTCTTCTGGCATTTCGCAGTCTGCGTTTTCTCAGGGATTGACACCAAATGTTTCCTGCGTTTTGGTGAACTTTGCGGTTTTGTTTTCTGCAATATTGACAATTAGCAGGAAAACTTATTTTACATTTACTTTGACCTTCATGATTTTATATGCCCGCAAATCTTACCCGGAATTTGCAATACTTCGTTTCAGCAAAAAATTGTGTGGATATTGCAAAAATGCGGTGTTACCTCTAATACACAAACAAAATTTTGTAGCATACATATACAACCATAAACGCTGTCCGATAAGCTAGTGCATGATAAAACTGAGATTTTCAAAAATAACCAATGAATTATAAAATTTTTCAGCTCCCAAATTAACATATTGAAGGTTTTGGCTTCCATGATAATCCTTGATTTCACTGACAAAGGCTTCTTTCGGTTGATTTAAGGTGCTTGAATGCTTTTCTCTTCTGGTCAAGATTAGTGCGCCATTGTTAATTGTATCATTTTGGGAATTTACGAAACTTGTGACTAAAATGAACGTGATGAGAAAAATTTTTGTTTTGTTGTGTTTTGCCTTTTGTAATTAAAAAATTAATGGTTGTTGTTCCAAAAAAAACACTTATCTCGGGCACAATGTTCCAGCATTGAAGTCAAATTTTTCTCTTGGAAGACAAGTAATGGAATTTATATTCCGCTGAAGCATACGAACAATTAAATGAAGCAATCGAAGAATTGATTGCACCATAAATGCCGTCTGGAAGGTCTTTAAAAAGTACTCTGAAAATGATTACTATTCCAGTATAGGCTTGACTCTCAAGCTAACTAATCAATTCCAGAAAAAAAGACCCTTGCTTGCCGATTCTGCTGATTCCAGCTTCAAAAGCACCAGAAGTTTCCTCCGTTTCTCGTATAACATTTTCGATTCTAAAATGTGATATATGTGTTGGGTTGACAGCGCTAACTTTTGAATTAGGAATATGACATGTCATCGAACTCTGCAAATGCATTTATCTCGAATTTTTTTGGGTTCGGTGTTAGAACCTTCTTCATGCAAGTCCTGGATGCTGTATTAAACAAAAAATCTTCAGGACATCGTACCATTACCGCTCGTTCACCAAAACATGCAATAATTTCAGCTTTACAAATTTCACTATATTATCTATCATCGAGTATCCTTTTACATGAACAAGGTAGAAATAATTTAGTTCTTAGTCTCAATTTCATTTTTTTTACTGTAGATTTTCATCAATCATATGGTTAACTATTTGATCAGCTAGTGAAGTTAGTCAGGACCACTCTACTACATGTTCATTGGATTCCGGATGCTGAAAGATTGAAACACTGGAGGATCTTCCAGTTGCTAATCCTGGTGGCTTTTTAGCTCATAATGGTACAATAGGCAGTACACGAAATTCAAAGAATTCATCCTGTTGACTCAACGACCTGATATCAAATTTTACTAATCCTGGGCATTCAGCACATACCACTGATTCATTAAATAAACATGCGATACATACTACTGAGCACCCTACACTGTAGAAGCATTATAGAAACCCAAACATGAGAAATCTGTAAAGCATAAGTTTTTACTGAAAGTTAGCTCAGATTTTTATTTCTAAACAAGTATTCAATTTTTAAACATTTACTGATCCACGTAGGAAAATAACTTACTCAGTAAGCGAAAATCTGCTGCTGTACTACCAAGATCGCTACCATATACGGCAGTTTTTTCAAATGAAATATTTTTATAATCTTGCACACAATCTCTGAAGATAATACCATTTTGAAGTAATGCATCCAGAATCAGACGTTGTGTAAAGGAATAAAGGTACTTTGAATATCTAAAGGATTTTATCAAAATATGAGACGACCTGAGCTTCATAGTTTGAAACTGACAAGACAATATATACTTTTCATTATACAAAGAATTTTATTGGAACACACTGCGTAGTTCTGTGTACAATACAATGTGTATAATCCATCACAACGCTTAGCGTAAAAGTTAGCTTTGAAAATTTCAATCCGTGAATGAGAAAACCTGCAATACTATGAACTTCTTGTGTTTTTTGTCGAGGAAGAAAAATCGTCAAGCATCTAAAAGATCAGGTCGAGGAAATGACCTTCGTAGTTAGCCTTAATACTAACTAAATACCAAATCCTGGCCGCTAATCTGCGGCATCAAAACTTTTTGGAATATATTGTTTTTTTCCAATCCAATCGTGATTAATGGCTAAAAATCAAATACGCGCAAAATGTTCGTTTGTTTGACTAAACTAGATTGCCAAAAAAAAATTAATTAACTAAGAAACATGACAAAAAAAATTATTCTATGTGCTCTTAAAGTTGCTTCTGCCTGTATTCTTTGGTGAGGTGCCGGTTAAATCGCAGTTGCCATCTAAATTTGGTATTATTTATTTATCACAAGCAGAATGGCTTATCAGTTCACTGTGAATTAAATTTTCAGTAAGAGAAGATTAGTATTTTCTTCAATTTCTAATATCGGTTATTAATTTGTAAAATGAAGTTGAATATCTCTTGACAATTATTGCTATATCATCGCATTCTCCATTTCGCTATTTGAAAAACGCAAACTTGTATTGGCTGATGGTGAGCATCAGCTCGCTGAAATTCACAAAGTAATATAGGTTGGAGAGAATCCTTCCCTCTCTGCTACTCAAAACGAAGGCCTATTTTTAGTAGTTGAAGCACAGATGTTAGGTTGTTGAAGATATTTATAATAGTTAAATTTTCGAATGGTTATTTCTGCCTGAATTTAGAGTAAATTTCAATGCTGGTACTTATAAAAACAAAATGTTGGTGGTGAAACAAACAGAAGTAAGAAAAAAAACAACCACCAATGGAAATATAAAAGAAGCTTGAATCACAAACAAATGTCTTCCATGATATTACAACGTACATCAATCTTTTCCAAATGGTAAACTTTTTCCTCTCCACTGGATGAAATCAAAGGCCAAAAATAGCCTGTTTTATCGTTAGATCCTTCTTGTATCTGAAAGGCGGCACCAGCTGAACTGGTCAAAAGAGGTTAGGAAAACATCCTTTAGCACATAAATTCTCAAAGCACATCCCCAGTAACTTTCTGAAAGCCATGTTACAGGCAGTTTTTCAGTATCCGGATAACATTTCCATATTTGGAAAAAGCTCCAAAATAAGTTAGCCATTTCAGGTCTAGAATTTAAAATGAAATTATTGTTATTATTATCAGTTTAATGCAAGGATTTGTAAAATGTCAAATATTTAGATGTGACCGAAAAAATTGCTATGGCAATATAGTGTTATGGTATTAAAGTGTTATGGCAATTTAAATATTTGTCGAAAAAAAAGAATGAAAGTTGAAAAGCCTTCACCTATTTGATGAAAGTATAACCAAAGTTGTAGGATGAGACAAATGTCCGAGAGTAAAACAAATGGTGGTTTCTAAGAACATTCGAAAATTGCAAAAATATAGATTCCAGATTTCGAATACCGGATTTTTAATTCCGATTGTAAAAATATGTAACCAACTAAACTAAACCGGAAATGTCTTATTTGTAAAGTGTCGTTGAAGGAAAGTTTAAATTTGGCACAAATGGGAGTTCATTTTCAAATATACAGAAACATGTGAGAATGCCGATACACTTTTTCAAATTCCGTTGAAAATATGAATTCAATTCTTTTTTGCAGTTACAAACATACAATGGCGTGTTTATGGTACGCAGCTGGACAACTGGTAATTTCTTCTGTCTTTTTTGCAAAACAATCGCACTTCTGCGTTCCGCGCTGTATTAACCAGAAGTTTGACGCAGTGTTTCTCTACTTCTTCATATCTCATAATTATCTGGAAATGATCTGTAAATCTTTTAACTCTCTCCATTATTTTTTAATGAATTTCTATTAAATTGCATTGCCAATCTTTTTTCGCTACTCGACTTATTCTTGATTCTTCCATTTGACTATTTCATTTCTTTCTTTTTACAGATTCTTTTTTGATCTGTACCTAATATGAAGTTCAGTCAGTTACGCTGCAAGTAAATTTAGAAAGATTCAGGAAGTTATTTCGAAATCACTAAAGAGAAAAAAAAATCATGCCTCTTCTTGTGAAGCAGCAAATTACTCTTTGTTCTCCTCATAAGCTACAGTGTTTCAACGGTATATTCTTCGTTTATTTCTGTTGACATGTTTGATCCTGTATCGTCGTGAGACAGTGAACATACCGATACTTCCAGATATTACAAAACCTTTGCTCTCGCAAGGTATCAACCATAACTATATTGTGTAAACGGACGATGATTGCAAGATTTGGCAAAACTCACGAGGTTTACTGAAGCGCATGTACTTCTGGAGTAATATTTTCAATTGATGCACAGAAAAGATGTAACAAAATGCCGTGAAATTAAGAGCGCTGAAAATATCCTTCAAATGAAATAGTTTAAAATGATTATGATAAACCACATTGTGTTTTGGTGCATTTATTAGATGGGAGTGCAAGGAAGCATTAAAAAATAAATTGAAAAATTCCGAAAAAAGGACTACTTGTTTGGTCTTATTTCTCTCTGAGGAATGTCTGCTGCCTCTTCATTACCACATTATCCAGGCTTAGTAAATTGATTAACAATCGATCCATCCTTATTCACTTCATTTTATTTGACATGTAATTTCTTCAAAACTAAAACAATGTTATCACCAGGACATCCGCTGATTCTATGACTCATCAAACTACATATTTCTATTCAATTCTATTCAAGGTTAAAAATTCCCATTTCATTGCTTAGAATTGTAAAATTATCATCAAAATTTGATTTGTTTCCAACTTACAGAATTAAGGTTAAAAAGATTTCTTTTCCCTAATTTACAAATAATGCCAGAATTTTGGGACTGTACGTCATATGTAGATAGTTTGAAGCTGCATTTTCATGTAATTTCATTTGCCTTCACTGTTTTGTTTAAAAAATATCAGTTGCGTGAATTAAGAGGTGTAAGCTATTTTTTTACTTTATTCTTACTTTATCTAATTATAACTTCAAAAATAGTTCACTTGAATGACTTTAATCGTGGAAGTGAAGAGATTTCTTGAGATTTCTCAACAGATTCGAATACATGCATTGATTTAGACCCGAAATGTGCAAGTTACACAAGTCGAGGTGAATGTCAAAGTAATCCTGTTTGACAGACCGTGTATCACTATGTTTTACATTTGATTGATATGCTTACTAGCTAAATTTCAATGTAATGGTTCAATATCATCAACGAACTTTCTTTTGCTTTGTTGTTCGATAGTTGTGATGTATCTTAAATTGATCAGTGTAGTAGTGGTTTAGCTGGCAAAAATCGTGCTTTGCGAAATTCCTATGATAGCGAATTATGAAATACCCTGCTTGTAGCTGTCAATGAGGTGATGCAGCATGGAGATTACGAGATTATATCACTTCACACTGTGATAATACAACAAATCCAAACTTATCACTTGTGTAGCATAAGAAAAAAAAATTATGTAGCATAAGTGTCCTTATCAACTATATTGGTGTGGTACTACTGTTCATTGTTCTTGAAACTCTTTTTTTGAAAATTTGCCGAAAATGAGAGTGATCGAAACCATTCATTTGCACTGTCGTTTATATTCAGGATCAACAAAAATAGATGGCCCCAGAATATGGAAGAATGGTTCAAGTTTTCGTTTGACACGTCCATGCGTTTCTAAATAAAAGCCTAAAATAATCCTTCCTGTAAATAATGTATTAATACTAATTTCATGAAATGAAGAGTCCAAATGACACGAAAGTGGCGTGGGATCGCAATCAGTGGAAGCTATCATGATTAAACTTTTACTGGATCCAGATTTGGACTCCTCAACTCGTACAAATAAATCTGTTGGTGTTTGGATTTTTTGTTTTAATCTGGATGTGATCACGATTTCCGAGATCACAGTAATTTGATAGAAGGTGATAAATTCAAGAATCTACTGATAATTAAGGCATCGACATATGGCTGGATTTTGTATTTGTAGCTCCTTACAATTTCCGCTACGAGATTAACGAACTACCAACATGTGTGTTCCACATTTGATGACAAACAATATTTATTGCGCGACTTGCCATTGCTGCTAAAGTTAAATTGAAAAAATGCGAAGAAATTACCGAAACTTATCCTTCCAGTTGGACTCTTGAAGATGCTGAAGTCAGCGTAAGTTCCACGTTACTTGCGGTTAGTCGCATTTCCATGGCCATGAATAAAGTAAATACTAATTGTGAACAAATCAGGCTTTTATTCAACATTCTGGATGCACTATTTTTGGAATATGTCAGTTTTTATTTCTCATGCAGATTCACATACATACATGCATACAGACAGACAGACATACGCACACTGGTCCACCATCGAAAATAGCCTGCCTGTTTCTGAACCGCGAAAATAGACTGAAAATTTCAGTATAGCAAACATTATATTCAAATGCTTGATGACTGGACAATCCGTTCGATGTTCAGTCATCAAACAGCGAACTACGCCAAGGTTTACGTCATAATGCTGTGTACTTTACGACGGAAATGTTAACAGTTCTCAATCGATTATCACTACATCATCCGCATTGTTCTAGCTAACGACAGTAAAACCAGCACTTATGGCATTGTCCATCTTGGCCCAGATTATAGCCTCGACTCTTATTAAGGGCCTGTTACCAACATTCACCATTCATACGTTGGTTTCATTTCCTTTAAAAAATTAAGGTCTCTTAAGAATCTCTGCGATTCCAATTTCAATCATTTTTGAAGGAAATAAGTGTCGCCACTCATCCTGTTTGAAAAATTCTCATCCCGTTCCCTAAATCTTGAGATCTGGATATTAGAGCTTAAAGAATTTCAAATACATCGAGACGGCGACAACATACCAAAGACTATGGGAAATGATACTGTTCCAACCAGGAACTGAGTCAATACTCAAAAACTAGAATTTTCAGTGAAATATATCGGGTTCAACCTTGTCTCAGCAGCATTTCTTCTCTTGTTTTTGATGATTTTATGAAGCGCTGGTTGGAATATCACTAAGACTCCGTAAAACCATTCTAGCAATCTAGCACCACCACACCAACACATCATTCACCAAATCAGCTTGTGTGCTTTATTAATAACAGGAATGCTCGACCGCTATCCAAGGAGGAAGTCAATAAGAACTTGCAGCGGAAATATGCTCCACCATGTGCACTCAACAATCTGATATTTGTGATTTCCCTTGCTCTTTAATTCATAGTTTTTGTTGAATTATTCATTTTGTAGTTGGAAATTTTGAACAGCAATGTCCGTACTTAGATGTCTTATGAATCGTTCCTAGGTAATTTCGTAAGAATTAGAAATGATAAAACCAATATAAATAATTTACAACCGCAGTCCACTAACGAAATTTTTCTTTTTTTTTAAAAAATAACCGGTAGATTAACAGAACAAAGATAATCAATCTATTGGCCATTGATATTTTGAGGAAGAAACACAAAACTGCTATCAGTGATTCCGTGGAAGCACCACTTCTGAAGTAATGATGTTAAAAATATAACTTCAATATAACCAACTAGAAGCATTTTATCAAAATTGGCTTTAATCATTGACATATAAGGATAAAATGTAGGTCTGAATCAGAGCACGGGAAAAACTTTATTAGATTTCTCCAATTTTCTCACTTATATCACAGACCCAATTTTCCCACTCTATCTACAACAGTAATCATAAAAACGAAGTGGGCTATTTAAAATAGTTCAGTACAACTTCGATGTAGTCAGAACAATGTCCGCAAACAGATGTAACAAGGCATCCAACTCATCACGTCTGTATATACCTTCATATGTTGTCCTATTAACCACAAATACCTCTCGCGTTCTAACAAATATTACTTCTGGCCTAACAATATTAACTTTCTGAAATTTCTACGCAAAAAAATAGTGGGTAAAAACTTGCGAATATGCCAATTCTTACTAAGCTTATGTTAAAGATTAGATTAGAAGCGGACTGAAGTATCGCAATCCTTGCTTTTAGCTTGGAAAGAATTCGGACATTTCCATAACAAAAATTTCTGTGTCCGCAATACCGTGAAATTGTGTAGGAAACTCTGTGTGTTGTTAAGCGCGTAAAATACTTTACAGATACCAATAAGACACGCGACAATGCTAGATAAAAAGAATGTAGAGAGATATCCAGCAATAGCAAAGCTGTAGCAGGAGTAACTTACCTTTGGTGAATTCCCAGACCTGAGTCACTTCTAAAAACCTTAATAAAGAGGTAAATTTGAAATGAAAACTAGCTCGTATGTCATTTCGAGAAATACTGTTAAACCGATCGAAGTTCCGCGCTCTGCAAACACTGAAATTAGCAACTGAAATCTACCAGAAAATTTGGTGACCTCGGTATGGAATGATGAAAAAAGTACTCAAATACAGCAGGGGTCTCGGAAACGACAAAATGAATCAAGCAAATAAAAAAAAAAAAGAAAAAAAAAACGCGCGGATTGAAAAAATCACTTGCCAGAAAGTTAGCTGATGACGAACACAAACAAACCTGATCCGCACCCTTCCTTATGTGGACAGCAAAACTACGAAATAAAAAACACGTTGTTCCAGAATATCAGCATGTTTAGAGTAACAAAGTGTTTGCTCAAAATAACAGCAGAATTCAAATCAAACAAGTATGGTAGTGCGATGTCATTCAGAAAGACCATGAAAAAATGTACGTATAAATTCAAATATATGAATAGATTTTCGAAATATAAAATGTTCCAAAACCTCATTTGAATTGAATTTTAGCCAGAATAACAATAAAAGCAAACTTGATAATTAACGGTATCCGTAAGCAGACAGAAATTCAACTTGCCGTCATACAGACTTGTTGTTGGCCAAGCAAATTATTAGCAACAGGGTAAATCCGTGCATAGACCGGAAAATGAAATATGCAAAACAGTAGGCGTTTCGAATCTTTTTTTCGAAAGTTAAGAATTGCAAAATATTTTTGTAAAAAAACATTACGGTCATTTAGAACCGAAATTTTGCCAAAAAATATAACAGTATGAATAATACTAATTGTGTAAGAAATTATTAAACAATCATATGAATTTATGAATGAATGAGTATACGAATAGGTATCGATTAAAGAACGTAGCAATATTCATAGCGATTCATTTTTCAAACTTTAACTTTACAGTTGGAATTGGATAGGGCAAACCTGCTCCATAAAATCAACACGTGCTATCAAGCAATCATCAAAATAACTACATAGCTAATTAATGAGTGATTTTATTAGTGCTGTCTATTTCCCCTATTACGGTCACAAATTCCAGGAAATGCCAAACCTCAAAATACAAAAATGCTATTTCTAGAAAATCACTATCAAAAGTGAGAATCAGAACTGAAGCAGAAGGATAATCTTAAGAAAACTGTAGCTTGCATATAACTTGCAGTGACAAGTTAAATTAACCATACAAGGAAGTTACTAAATAATTATCAGTTGTGCAATGATAAGTTAAATTAATGACATCAAAGAGTTGTCAGAAAATTATCAGTTATGCAACTGCTTCAAGAATCAAATTTGCTTACTGAATGTATACTTATGAGGTCATTCTTAAACCTTTTTCAAGATAAGAAAATACTCAACATGGAAACTTACCAAGACAGAAATATAGAAATGAAGAGAAAGCTGAAATAATTATAGCGTTGTACGCAATAAACCAAAGAAAAACTGATACTTGACAGAAGTTTTACAGATAAAACAGTTTAGGTATCGAAAAAGTAGCACAGAATACAGCTGGTGAATTAACCTCCATTGGGAGTATCAGGTAAGGCCTTTAGAGCCAATGCAAATAACAGATGGCCACATTCAGGTGTCAATAAGGTTATATTGCGTGCGCAGGCCTGAATTAATCGATCAGCCATATTACTAGCAGCAAAAACATACAATACACCGCTGGGAACAGTGACAACACCGGCAGCATCTTTCTCGGAAAGATAATTAACGAGCGGCCGGATGGGCTTATCACACGCTACAGCAATCATTAGGCTAAGCTGTTTCTTTGATGAATGAATTAGCCGCTCCTCAAGTGCCTCCTGACTAACCAATGGAAGCCGCTGAGTAATGTGTAGCTTCAGTGCGCTACCATCCGTCGGATCACGAAGTAACTTCTGAAGCAAATGTTCCGTTCCCGAGATACGATGCAAACGAATCGCGTATTCAGTTTTCTTCAGGATAATGAAACCTTGCCAAGTAGGCGCAATTCTTCGTTCTAGCTCATCAATGGTATCGATTTCACCATCAGATGGTGTACTTGATGGACTTTCAGGTGGCGTACGTGGACCTTTGTTGCGTTTCCTCGACCCGGCAGACATGCTCCGTCGTCTTTTACGGTCTTCCTTTTGATCATCTCTACAAAGAAACGACCTTAGGTCAAGCATTACACATAATCACGAATCCTTATAAATAGATAAAGAATGGAACAAAGAAATACAGAAAATAACGAACTTGGCAAAATCAACGATAATGCATCGGTCTCTTCCACCCAGTGGAAAACCTTTCATGGCACGGCAAGCATCCATCGCTGCATTCTGATCCGTAAACCGGATATATGCAAAATCAGCGCCTTCTTCATAGTCTAACCGATCGATAAGCCCATATCGATCAAATTCCTGCAAACTAGTATCATTTCACAACTTCTTTCGAAACCATTTCATAGCTAAAGTTGACAATGTTTGTAAAAGTTGAATACTCAAAGGACGATGTGCTACACCATTTAAAACATGTTTTGAGCATTCAAGACTCATTCCTTCATATTTTCCACGCAAAGAAATAACCTTGATTAAAAAACCACCATATTTAAAAATTGTTATTAATTTCAGAATAATACAATCAAAACAGAAAAAAAAGTGCCTTAGCCAAATATTCTGCAGATGTCCACGGTCCTAACCCACCGATCCATAAACGATTTGATGGTTGTGATTTGCCATATCCAATTTTACAACGAGTTGTTCCTGGCCGTATTGGACGGTCATGTTCATTGGCCTTTGCATTCATAGACTGCTCCAAAGTCTACAAAAACATCAAATTCACGACCGTATAATTATAACTGCTTCATCATTCAGCTAATGCATGGTTACACCTATAAATCACTTCTTTCAAGCCCGAAACACCAGGTATTAGCTCTCCACAGTCGTTGAAAATAATTGTAAAATGTGCTCGTACAAACAATGCCAAATATGGAAGTCTTTTTCTCGGGGAAAACCCACCTGGAAAAGAACAAAAGCATATGCTGCATTAGTTTCTGGAGGTGTTTTGATATCAACATCTTCAACTTTTCCATATTTTTCGAAAACACGACGAATTTCTGACTCTCGTATATCTGCTGGCATATTTCCCACAAACAGTGTTCTCGTTGCATCACTGTCGTCTTCTTTCAAATTCCATGTTCCCCCTTCCTCACGACGTCTGCTTGGAGATTTCCTAAAAACACCACCCCTTTATACATTTTCTTTTTCGCAAGCAAACGCTTCCATGAAGTGGGATCACCTTCTTAGGGGATCCTTTCGTTCACGCTCCCGTTCAGCTTGAAGTGCTCGATTATATCGATCGGGAATATACTTTCCTTCTTGATCTCTAATGATGCCTGCAGGATCAAGATGAAGTCTTTTTCCCAGCAATTTCTGCAACCGTGGTAACATCGTATGTCGAATTGTTCGCGCAGCCTCTGGGCGCTCGAAATTTACATATGCAAGGCGCTGCTCGTCGCCAGGGTTACGCACTATTTTTATCTACAAATTAGTTCGCATTTCAACAAAGAGAAAAAAAACTGAAAGGGAACAACAGCAATGTCTAAACGACTTCAGAGTCTACACAAGCACATGTGTAAATAAAAACAATAAAGACGTCAGTCAGTTCAGTTTTCTGAAGTTAAGGAAACAAACATAAATATCCAGAAAACGCTTACCTCAAATGGAGCATAACGACGGAATTCACGCTCCAGGATGTCTTTAATTTCGTCCTTGGTAATTTTGTTGTCAAAATGCGAAAAACGAAGATTCATATATTCTTCCGGGGAATGACTACCAAACCGGTCTCTAGATCAGGGAAAAAAGCAAAATGTATGCAGTACAGTTAATCTGAACATGAACTTCATGTTAGAAATAACGACTAAAATAAAGCTTTGTGTCACCGAAACAGTACTGTGAGAAGTAAAATCGCATTCTGCTCGAAATTTTGTAGGGATTTTGGTGCTC